AGCCTCTCGCCGAAGGAAAGTTTGTATACATCAGGTCGGACTCAGAAGTTTACACTCGCACTGTTCATTGCGTTTTATAATTACGCAAGAGCATGCATCCTATTCATCAGCAGTCAGCACTGCATATTGCAGAAATTGTTCTTACCGAATGCTCTCGTCTTTCGCACGCATGCATTTCATTGGCGGATCCAGCAAATGGGCAACATTGTCTTTTCTCCATTTCAACCTATAGAAATGTATCGTTTCTTGGAAGGGTGCTCTGACAAGAATCGATAATTCAACATAGGTTTAAATAGAGGAAGTCCGATGTTGCCAAATTGCTGTATCCGCTTTTGGCTGCATAGCTTAATTTTTTCGGTCCGCCAGCCTGCTCTCAAAATTCGGAAATTTCATCAATGCAAATGCATTTTTTAACCCTCGATCAGGGCATAGTCCTCCTTACATGCTAAGAAGGAACTTGGGATCTTTAATGAAAGTTGGCTGCACTTATTTGCATGCTCGTTGGTGGAAGTTGGGGAAAGGTTTGATGCCGTCCCATTTTCAAAGGCGAGACATCTTTTTTTCCAATTCCGCATGGGAGCGTTGTAATGACGCTCTAAAGTGTAAAAAAAAAAATTGCGAACCTAACTTCAAAATTATAAAAATGGCAACATCCTTTCGTCGTCCTTCGAATTCGTCAATTTGCAGGTAGACAGTATTGTTTCTCAACCATCGATATGTATATTATACTGCTTAAGACAAGAGGTCATGCGCTTTCCTTTTTTTATTTTTTTAATATTTAATCGTATACGCATATCTTCCCAAAGACTGAGGTCTTAAGGTGAATCCAGGCTTGGAACTTCGCGATTTGGCCACCACGTCGCGCTGTTCAGAATAGCCGCATATATTTTCCAAAATAATAAAAACCGTAATACTTATTCAAGATTGGAGATCCAGGGGATATGGCAACATACTTGAGGAACACTCAGTGAAAAAATCTTCTCAAAATTCCCAAAAATAAATTCTTAACTACGGCAAAAAGTAATTCCCATTGCGGCAATGGGAGAGAGAGAGAGACAGGACATGATGGATTCCGTTGCGCGCTTGGCCGCCGCCTCTGAGCTGAAAGTTTCAACCGTACTTTCTCTGCGTTTGTAATTCTGATTGCCAATATTTTTGGCTCAAAAAATCAAGCAAAAAATAATCTATATCTTGTGGATCTGCTTTTTGTAATTCGAGGAATATTATTTCAGTAATCGTCGAAGCAAAATGAAATTCTCAGTGATGACTGGTGGCGCCATCTCTAATCTTGAATTATCCCTAATCGAGCCCTGGATTCACCTTAAAAACTCGAAGTTGTGCGAAAATTACGACAGAAGCATTGATTATTTACTTGATTCCCACAAACTACATTGTGAGAAAATCAACTACGATAACTTTATGACTAATCGCAACCGTTGGCGTTTAATCAGCTAGTGATAATTAGTCTTATCCTTAAGAGCGCAGTTTTTTTATCTGTTTTAATTAAACATCCAGTTCTCTTTCAGAGTTTGACTCTGAACTCTTTTTCCTTGATAAAAGCATGTCCCGCGTATGCTTCCATATGAATCCGATTTTGTGTATATTAATTAGTTCAAAGAAAATTCCACAACCGCCGCATATTCAAACGATGTCAGTAACGTAAAGGAATCGTTCAGAGGAAGGACGTAACTTCAAGAGCCTGAATTTTTTAAATGATGGAAAAATGGAATTTTGATGGAATTTTTGGAATTGAGAATTTTTGGTCACGTTGGAGAAATTTTAGTTTCAGAGAAAGTTTACCAAACAAGCAACCCTGATAGAATTCGAATACGGGAATTGACAAGGGGTCTGTTGTAATCTCTGTGAATATTTGAAGGAGAATGGACCACTAGACAAGGTACGGATTTCAGCATTCTGATGCATATTTCTTTATTAAAATTTCACGTAGAATACGACGCGCACATTGAAAATTACCGAAATCAACTCCTTCCAAAGATATTTAATGATTCTTGATGCGTGAATTCAAACCACCCGCTCATGAAAACTCAATGCTCTACGTGATTCACATCGCGCGCTAAACGTCATCATGACAGTCTCTGCGATATAAAAATCTGGCAACCTCAATCTTGACGCTTTGGCTCAGCTGTAGCAAATTGCTTATAGTTTGAACAACACATGGTGGGAAATGAACATTGCTCGATTGAGAAGCTTGCTGAAACCGTTGTAGTGCGCGATTTGACTCACGTAGAGTTTTGAGTTTCTTGTGAGCGGGCAGTGCAAATTCCTCGTAACCAATGTGAAATAAAAGCGTCAATATCTTCGTTTGGAGTTTGTTTCATTAGTTTTCGTTGCGCGAATCATGCCCTACGTGAAATTCTGGTTAAGAAACATGTATCAGAATGCTTAAATTCGTACCTTGTCTAGTGGTCCATTACGAATCGTAATGCTCTATTTCCAACCCTACATCATTCTGCGATCCATTTAAATCCCGAACGAACGTCTGCGAGGAATCTCGAGACGTTTTTTAACAGACCGACACGGCTGTTGCCCGCGGACGCTCGGCATGGCGTATCAACAGGGAAAAGCTTTTCGGCAGCGAAGGTCATCGGCAAGCTCTCAGCCTGTCGAAAACTACTCCACTCGGCGCGACGAAGTTTCCATGTTAAAAAAGTTGTGGATGAGCCGGGAAATTGAGCCGTTCGGAAAGGGAAAGGAGTTCAAGGAAGGGGCAGAAACAGGTCGCGCCGCTCCTCTCCTCTTGAAACTCGCATCGTAATTGGAGAAAATGAAATGGAAGTAATTGAGTGTTCCCCACTGGGAAGAGAAGAGAAAACCGTCGGCACAAAGTTTAATTCCGTGGACAAACCTCTCGACAAGAATAACTATTTTTTCTCGTGGTTCTTACTCTCAGCCCTCTTCGGGTTGAGTCAGGATCCTACCCTCTATGCTACGACCGCTCACTGGAAAAAAAAAACACATTGGATATAGGGTCCAGACTCTTGAAAACAATGAGAAGAAAAAATACTCTCGATTCAATCGGATTCAAGCTTAAATCAAAAGGAAATCCGTTCAAATTAAGAGGCTGGGTTCTTGATTTAAGCTTAAATCCGATTGAATCAAGAGTATTTTTTCTTGTCGATGTTTTTAACAGTCTGGACTCTAGATCCAATATGTTTTTTTTCCAGTGCTGTGTAGAATCTAGAAAAACGCGTGCTTATTTCGGTTTACTATTTTTTTCGATCTCATATTTCTACCTTAAAAAAAAAAAAAAAAAAAAAAAAAAAAAAAAAAAAAACTAACGGGATTTCTTGAAAATATTGAAGTATTTATTCGTCAAATAATGCACGGGTATAGTTGGAAAGCTTGCGAAAGTCAGTTTTAAGCAATTCAGGAGCTTTCCGGAAAAAGTGCACACTGCAAAAAATCGCGTGTGAGAAAAATGCATTTTAAGGTTCCATCATTACTTTTTGGCCACTGATGGTAACTTTCATCGCAGCTTGGACTCCCGATCTAGAACGTAAGTCACAGTCAGTGGGCATAGAGTAATGGTAGAAACTTCAAATGCATTTTTTTCAAACGCGATTTTTTGCTTTATGTGCCCTTTTTCCGGAAAGCTCCTCAATTATTGACATCGAACTTTACACAAAATTAAAAGAACTTGTAATCTTATGGCCTAATTTGCAAATATTGTAACTTAGAGACACAGAACCAACAAAAGTTGACGATAATGTACCATCTGTAGGTACAGAATATCTGTTTCGTTGCGATAAAACGACTATCGCCGCGCCCACTCATGCAAGGAATAGTTTGAAACTGAAATTTTTTCCGTTTTGCCTTACTTACACCCTGCAGCATTTTTCTCCTACGTCTTTTTTCTTCTTCTTTTCTCTTTTTTTTCTTTTTTGCTGCGGAAGTTGGGAGAAAACTGAGTTCCGCCAACTACCGCTCGCATGTGCCGCCCGGTAACAGGCAGGGCCGGATTAAGGGGGTGGCCACATGGGCCGCGGCCCATGGCGGCAAAAGGGGGCGGCAAATATTGTAATTTTTTCAAATGTAAGTATCAAGAAAAAAATCCGATTCAGAAAAAAATCATGAATGAGGAAAGACGAAAAAATCTCTCATATCCTGAGAGTTAAAGTATCGTAATTTCTAATTTGTTCGTCTTTCGTTGATACAAGAGACAGCGCCTTTCATTAGTCTAGTTGAGAGAGAAACCAACCACGCAATTTTTACTGGAGCGGCACGGCGCAGAGAGCAATGATTGCGAGAACTTGAGATGGAAAGGAGAAGCCCTATCGCCGCACCGGTCAGCATGAAACACATATTAGCGCTTACAAGACTCCACGAATACGTCACGCATTGCGTCAAACGTAGTGCGGTCAGCAGAGGTCGGCGTGAAACTCATAGTGCCTACAAGACTGCATGAATACTTCACGCATTGCGTCAAAAACAGTGCGGTCACTTGGTCAGCAGCGGTCAGCGTGAAACGCATAGCGCCTACAAGAATGTAGGGATACTTCACGCATTGCGCCAAACACAGTGCGGTTGGCGCCTCGGCGGAAATTAAGATCATTAGACCACATTCATGTTTATTCTTATTAATAATTTTTTCGTTATTTTCTTATAAATGAAAGGCATCGTCCACACAGAGATAGGTCTACGGAACTTGATTTTCGAGCAAAGTTCCGTGAACTTTTGCTAACGTTGACAGGGCTTTCACAAAAAATGTGCCAAACTCGATTAAACGCGTCTTATGTACCCCTCCTCCTCCAGCACGTTCACCTGATGGTTTTTATGGATGTTTCAAAACGAATGAGATGGGGCGGCAAAATACAGGCGGCCCACGGGCGGCAAGAAGGTAAATCCGGCCCTGGTAACAGCCAGCCGCGGACGACTAAAGGGAAATTTCATCCTAAAGTTTCGATCTCTTGAATTGGGAACGAATAACGATACAGCTAACAATTTTACACCTAATGACGTTTCATTTTCTTTGTTTTCAGATCTGCGGTCGATAAACTACTACATAGCGGCTCGGTTCCAGTAAGTACACCAGCTTCTATTTCTTTTCGTTTTCGAAATTATTTTCATCATGCGGCCTTTATCCTGAGCCGGACAGTGGGCCGCCTTTCATATTGGACGTATCTCAATCGAAAAGAACTATCTTTATTGTGATCTGGACTCTTAGACTCATAGAAATACATGCAGAGCAGCATGATTGTTGAAATTGATAGATAGAGCGATAGACTAAGTATGGAGCAGTTTTATTGGCTGAAATGTTCGGTTCTTATACTGCCGTGCTAAGGAAGAACGCCGTATGAACATTCGAGAGTTGCCGAATTTCCCCGGCTGAAACATGTAGTTTTGACAAAATTTATGCATAATTTTCCTTGAAATTTTCAGAGATTTTAGATTAAATTGCAAACAAAATAGCCTGAAAAGTTGAAAGAAAAATATTTAAAATTTCCCCAATAAATTCGTATTTTATCGAAGGAAATTTGGCAACTCTCAAATGTTCATACGGTGTTTTTCCTTAGCAGTGACTAAGCACGGCAGTTTAGGTTGAGGGAGAAACTTAATGACCTACTAATGGGTGTCTCGTGGGTTTCCGTTAGTTAGTCTATTACCTTCTTCCTTTGTCCATTTCCATCACCTGCTTCCTCTAATAGGATGCCTTCTTATCCCTTTTGTCTTCTTTGTCTATAGATTTCAACACTCATCAGGACAGTGCAGATAGTTCTTTTTGACTTAAATGAGTAAATTTATTCATTGCGTATCATTATCGTTTCATTGAATGATGATGGGACTTCAAGAAAACGAGCGTGAAGTGGCACTACTCAGATGTAGCCACTCATGTCAACATGAAAAAGTATACACTTTGCGAAAAGCGGCGAAGTGCCATTATTTCAAAGCTCGTCGAGAAATAGGAGCACGCGGTGCGGCGCCCTCAACAACAACGATTCCAGGTAAAATCAACGAAGGAAATAGTCGAGCTCAGGTCTCTAATAAATTGAGCGTTTCAGACATCCCGAGTTTTGACCAGTGAACAAGAAATAAATTGCTCGCCGATTATAACCCGCTTGCAAGTCATTGCACCATTGCTGAAAACGTTGCCACAACTTTATTTATGATTAATGATAAAATAGTAATCCCAAGATGCTTATTTTTATTGTTTAAACAAGTGCTGATGCATTTCGGGAACCTCGTCCCATCTAACCCATCTTCAGAGCATCAACTACAGTAAAGTGGTGGATACAATTTTAAGTCATATATTGGAAAAATACACGATACAAACCAATAAGAAAGACAATACAGCAGGTTCAGTAACATAACAGGATAGGAGCAAGCGTAATCGGAACGAGCTCAATCAATTTACCCGTATAGATTCCTGGGCAGTGAACAGCATAATAATAAAAAAGTAGCATGCATGAAATGAGAATTAGAAGGAATAATAAGTGTGGAAAATGCAATAAATGTGAATATAAATGAAAAATATGCATATTTGGCGTACTATTTTATTATTAATCAGTATAGATGCAATATGTGGCTGAAGAACTTTCCACAACTTTATGTCTGTAACACACAAAATTAGCGTCGTGGCAACCTTTTCACAACCTTTTCGGCTACCATTTGCTGAGTGATAATGATCGCGAAAAAATGTCAATATGCGTCCATTATGAGGCGAATGTTTCCCCCACTCGGAGGGGGCATATTTTAAATATTATTTCAAAATTGCCGCACAGTGGATCGAGTCAATCAGAGAGGTCGGACATAACATTTTTGACTTGAAGTGAACATTTCGATGTTTATTCCGTTTCATTTTAAATTTTGAGGGGTGCCTCTAGATGAAAATTTCTCAAGGAAACCAACGGAACCACCTTTAGAACCTCAAAATATTGTATAGACGGAGTTATGAGCTTTTAAAGTTTCCAAATTTTGTCCGACCTCTCCCATTGACTAGATCCACTATGCGCCGGTCATGTCCAACGAGGAAAAGATCATCGCGGAGACGGAATGGAATCGCACATTCGCTTTAATGGGAATTTGTGGCGCTCAAATGAAAACTATACCTTCTATATGTAATGGACGTCTATGGACAGGGTAAGATTTAAACTTCCTCGAGACTTATTCCCTCATTAGAATTTCTCGCAAAACAAGTTGAACAAATCGGAAACTTCCAAAATGTACTCTTAGGTTAAAAGTCAACGTTTTTCGTTTACATTAGAATTAATGAATTCAAACTTCTCGCTCGCGAAAAAGCTAAAATCAACGCAGGTCAAATTAACAATGCGATCTTATCCATTCGGAAAATAAACAGTGTTTGATTTTTTTTTTTTTTTTTTTTTTTTTTTTTTAATCACTCCTCTAATTATTTGCGAACCTTTAAAGTATCGCAAGAAAAATGCAGCATACCGTAAACACTATTCCATCGTACAATGTAAGTCAGTGTAGTAGCTGATTTGACGCAAGTAAAAACTTTCATTCACCCAAATGTCATAAAAGATGCTTACTGAGGCGTAGTAGGCATTTGAGCACCACTAAAAACACTTTGTAAACCACATGTTGCATCGCGGAGATACCCTGCAACCTTGTTCTATACTGACTTGCAAAAGAAAAACGCCGTATGAGCCTTCAGACTTTGCCTTATTTCCCTAGGTGAATTACGAATTTTCAGGAAAACTTATGAGTAGCTAGAGGTAGTATGTTCCTGTGTAGCGATAGCCTTTCCTCTCTCGATATGAAGTTTAAATTAAACACAAACTTTCTCAGTAGTTTTAGATTGAGACTGCCCTCTTACGGTGTACGGTTGAATCACTTACCAGCTATCCAGATAGATATCGACAAGGAGTCTGTCTTGTCCTTTCATTTCATTTTCATTCTATTATGCACTCAATACGCACTCCACGGTCAATTGGCCCTCTTCAAGGCAGCGGTGCATCCGGAAGGCCTTGTAATTGCATCCTGACTTGCATCTGGTTATTCGCACCGACTCATTACCAATTATTTCTGTGTCCCAGATCTTGATCTTTATTTAACAATTTCTTATATTTTTCATGTATTTGCTCGACCTTCATCTCATCTCACAATTTCCCTATTCGTTACACCATCGCACCAGTTATTGCAAATTGCACCAAAGATCGGAAATTTGTGTTGGAAAGGCTATCGCTACGCTAGAACCTTTATATACACTTGTGAATGATTTTTTTTTTTTTTTATTTTTATAGAATTTGTTTGTAATTCAATCAAATTTTAGAGGATAACATTTACAGATTTTCTTAAGAAAGTCGTTCCGGGAGAAAGTGAGCCTCAGCGGAAATTTTTTCCAATTTTTTTTCTCTGGCCCTAAACTGTTGACAACTTCAAACAATTACACAATACAGCGCCGGCGCAATGCTTGAAGTATACCCACAGTTTTGACGGTGCTTCCAGCGATCGTTTTTCGCGCGTAGCTCAAATTTTTTGGGTTCTTTTCCGGAATTCGAGGTATACTACCCTTTCACGGTCACAATTATGAAGCAACAAAACTCTCTCGCATATCCCTTTATTTGCTGTTGGGGTCCCCAACAGCAAATAAGGGCTTGGTCTCTTTCCCGCTGACCCAGAGATTTCAACGCAGGGCAGAGAAGTGGATGGGATGTAATGGCTGATACAACTATTTTGACTTCCAAATAGCCAAAATTGCATATCCACAAAATGAAGGAGAACGTTAACTATTTCCGGCTGACTCAGAGACTTTAACGCAGAGTAGAAAAATAGAATGGCGCGAAACACATGATACAACTATTTTAACTTCCAAAAAAATAAAATTGCGTGTCCACAAAATGAAAGGAACGTGGTGACTTTGTCATTCCAACTATTCGGACCGTGAAACTCGACTTTCAGTTTTTGTGACGGATTGTTCGATTCTTACAACCGAGCTCATGAGGTGAAAAGAACTGATCAAAATTTCAGATACGCTTGAAATGCTCATTTCGAAAAGGAACTACTGATGGTCAAATAAAGTACGTATCCGCCAACTTCCTTTTCAAATTTTTTCTGACTGTTTCTTATTCCCCTCCTCCTTTCCCCTGGATCCACTCGGAGAAAATTTTCAATAAATTCGCCGACAATATTAGTCCAAGGTTGAACCAATAAATTCCACCTAGACATCCAATGGTACAGTTATTTCGAATCCAAATAAACTACCTCAATAATACGTACGTTGAACAAACGGCGACGATGACCGCGATCTCAATATGTCTGTAATTGTACAGATGCTCGCAGCAAAATTAACCTATCTCAACAGTTCAGAGACTTTTCGACTTCCAGGCAATAAGTTCAAGGTCTACACACGACCTATACCACAATATCTCTGCAAGACTAATTTACACGTAATTAGCGTTGATGATATAACGTGACGAATTTTTTTAATGTTTTTTTTTTTTTTTTTTTTTTTTTTTTTTTTTTTTTTTTTTTACATCGGAACCAACCAATTGGATTTGAAACCCATGGCGCCTAGGACCGAGGAATAATCCGGGAAACCCAGGATTCATCTGGAAAATCGGAAAAAAATCAGGGAATCTTTTCCAGAAACCGTGAATCATTTCTTCTATCGTTTAGAGTCTTTTAATAGTTTTCTAATTTTGCGGAAATTTTAAGCACCTATTGTAATTACTGTAAGTTGGAATTTTTTAGCCAACTTGCGTTAAAAAATTCAGGAAACTGCAAATCTCAATACACAGGGAAAAAACAGCTTGGTAGCAGAAAATTCAGGAGGCTGAACGCGTCTGCAGTTGCCTTCCTGAGTGGTCGTAACTAGTGTTGCACCAAACAGCGTATTTGTTTTAGCGAAAAATTGTGCTCAAACGAGCTTTTTCACTCTGTATTGATATTTCTAGTTTTCTTGATTTTTTAACGCACGTTGACTAAAAAATTCCAACTTATTGTCTTACGAGTCGTGCATCTACCGCGATCAGATTGTGCATTATAATTAGGTTCATGTTGTTGCACCTGAGCCGCTATTTTGAATGACATATTTGAATCTCCGAATCATGGCTCTCTTC